ACCAACTATTCCCATCACACATACAAGAGGAGCTATTGTTAAGAAAAAAAAGAAAAACGATTCACTTTCTTCGCGCAGCGTGGACCAATGTGTACAAGATATATTCTTGGAGGCATTCGTCGTTCTAATATCCGGTGTTGTATTCCAAAGAGAGAGATTTAAGATAAATTTAGCATTCGTTAAATGAGACATGTTCATAAGTTAAGTCTTCCCTTTTTTTTTAAAACCTACACGAATTTATTTTTTTCCCAAAAAAAAATAATATAGTTTTGTTTAAATAATAAGTAAAATAAATGAAAGTTGTTAACAACATCGTAACAAATATGATTATATTTATAAAAATAAATAATATTATTAAATGTTAATATTTCTATATATCATATATTAATATGGCAATATAATTATAGATATTGAAATGTAAATTTGATGTACGAAGGGTGCGGTGCGTTGATAAAAAAATAATCATATGCTTCATAGAAAAAAAATGTTGGAACTAAAGAAGTTGGTACTTAGGATAATTGCCAAGACCCTGAAGACCAAGTCGATAATCATACCAAAATCTTTATGGGCGGCAGAAGCCAAACATAGCTAAAGAAGGTCCCATTGAAAGGTGCGCTTGATGAAGAATATGAATAAAATTTGATTGTATTTGAAAGTCAATCACAATGGGTAGAAGGGAAAAAGATTAAAAGGCAAACAGTGCTTATGGTAATGGAAATTTCCCAAATGTATTTCCTAGATTGGATAGCTTCGAGATCCGTCTATGCGTTCTGCAGATGGTGGGGGGGGGGAGGGAGTGTGTAAAAAGAAAAGCGTTTACGCCCCATTTAAATTTGTTTTTATCGACCAAGCACAGGTACTTCCGAATGGTCAAAGAATAGCTCAAAAGAAATGGATTTAAAATGAATTATAAAATTTCTAGATAATATACGGATGCCCATGCAGATAAAAACGAGACTAAACCTGATGCAAGTCGAGATAGACAAATATTAAATTCAAAGAGCACTGATTTTGATTCAACAGTGACATATAATTTATGAAATTCGTCATGTCAGACTAAATCGATATCAATTGTCAAATAAAGATTGCATAAAATACTTGTGTAGTAAAACAATTTGTTGATACATTCTAGGTTAAAAAAAAATCTGGTTGCAATAATCTCTCTGCTTCCGAGAAAATGTCTCTTTCAGGCCATTGTGTTATTTCAGTAAATGCATTTCTAATGAGTTCTTCTAAACTCCATGAAGGCAGTGAGTGCTTGATGGTAAAAGTATCTTGTTGAACTCTATCATGTCCTTGTCCACGTAATCACAAAAACATTTTATTCTGTCAACCTCATAAATGAACAGATTTTAACATAATTCTAAGGAGAGACATGCGTGTCTTAAAAAATATAATAATTAGTCAGAGGCGCAGAGGAGTTTACATACCAAGTAGGACAATCAGTAACCTTGCAAATTTACTAAAATCTTTTTGACCTCAAATAAATCATATTTTGGGGAATTTTAGTTATGTCTCTGCATTCTTAAGAGCATAAACCCTTGCATATAGGCATAACGAAAAAAAAAATAAGGATAATAAACTAATTTTTGATAATGGGCATTTACACATTTAAAAAAAATGATATATATATTTTTTTAAAATTGCTAATGAACCGAAGATTCTTCTGCCAAAAAGTGTAAATTGAGACCATAAATACTATAATAACGGTTCCTTTAAACACAGCCTAAACATTGTTTGCGGTTATTACATGTTATATTGTGTTTATTATGTACATATATATTGTGTTTATTATGTACATATATATTTTTAGTGCTTATTTATAATGATTGATTTTTTTAGAATTGCAATTCAAATATAAATTATATATTTTTTTAGTAACTTTAATAACATTTTATAATTGCGTTATCAAATAACTCAATTTATTTAACTCTAAATTTAATAATATTTAATCTATTTTCATTTCAATGAGGTATAATAATTGAGAATTGGGGAAAATAAAATTTTATTTTCACTAGTTTTACACACTCTACAGTAGCTAATGTTAGTTCAGAATCTGTTCAAGGCCTTATATTTTGATTATAAGTTTATAATATACTTTTTTATTAGGTAATTTACTTTAAAAAAAATTGTTTAAGCAATATATAAATAATATCGAGTATATATATATATACTAATACAGTTATTTTGACAGAATTTCGAGAAAATAAATTGCGAATTAACAGATAAAATTAAATTTATCAATTTATTATAAAAAAAATACTTAATTGGTAATAGGATGGGGAGTACATTAATATAGATTAGTATAGGCGTAATTTCGCGAAAAAAGTAAGTAGAATGTAATGTAGTGATATCTATAATTTTATTTAGTATGATAAAATAATCTATAATTCCATTAGAATTATAAATTATTCAGGCTGATTTTTTTTTGTAAGCACGAGGCGCAGAAATTCAAAAGAAAATTCCTTTAAAAAATTTAATTTAATGGCTTAATTTACATGGGGGGTTTAATTTTATCGTTCTTTTCTTCTATACAAGTAAAATTAATTTATTTATGGCTTTCTTTTACAGTGTAATTTACATAAATATTACAATGTTTTAGCCATAAAATGCAGCAATTATTGATGTAGAAGTATTGTTCCAAAATTAGGATCTACACAATTCTTATAATTTCATTTGTATTATATGACTTTGGTCTAATTCATATAAATACCCACCTCACATTCATCGTTAAAATTCCCAAAGATTTAATAAAAATAGTAGCTAATAACCCCTCAAGAATGACGGGGTTGAGAGGTAATTAGTTTGTGTATATTATGGTACTAAATATACTTTATTAATATATTTATAAAAATATTAAAATTTATAAGAAAAAGAAGTAAATTTGTGAACCACACCTCATAAGATATTTTTAATTTAAAGTATGATGACCCGTCTTTCTTGAAAGGCAAAATGAAAAATATATAACTAAGAGTACCAGAGCTCCCGTTAGTCAGCATCGCTGAGTCCGTCAAAAATGACACTGAATGAGAATTTTCTCCGTACTCTTATGATAGTTGTTACCTGTTATTTGAAAATAATATCCAATTTTTATTCTTTATAACCCCCTACCCTACCCCCTCCCTTCATGCCAGGTTCAATTTATTAAAACTAAGTTTAAATGCTATGTTTTGAGTCAAAATCTGATACCCATATCAATATTATTTGTTAAAATATTATTGATCACCTATGCCTAATAATAATTTTGAAAAAAATTTCCCCAACCTTAGCCAAAGATCATAATAATTTTGGTAGTTGAGAACTGGAATAAAATACGAGCCTTGGTTTTTTGATCAGATCGAGCTCAGGCCTGCAAAAAAATTTGCTTTAGGTCAATGTCTGATCCATAGTTAATAAGGAAAAAAAAATCCCAAGCGTCCAATCTGATAATAATTTAAAAAATTTTCCCCAAACCCAGCCCAATATAATTTATAAAAAATATTTTCCAAGCCCAGCCCGACCCATTATAATTAAAAAAAAATTTTTTTTTCTCAAAACCTGATCAACCGATGATAATTTTGATATTTTTTTCCCAAACCCGGAGCTTAAAAAAAATAAATATTGATATAATTAAATAACTTTTTCAAAATATAGTTTTGTATATAAGAAGAATTGTAATTGCGAAATTTAAGATAGAAGGACGTTTGCATATGAAACGTTATCTTGATGATCTATAAAAATATTTCCTTTTTTTGAAAAAAAAAAAAAAATTTGACATCATTTGGGCTAATTTTTTAAGCCCGGCCCCATCCAAAATTTATTTAAATATAGAAATTTATTTTTATAATTACTCAAAATAAACGATATATGTTATTTGGCGTCTATAAACAAAATCACATATTTTTATTTTACATAAAAAATTAAACATAAAATGGATAAATTTAAGATATATTTTAAAAAATTTCTAAGCCCCAGAATTTTCTTAATAAAAATATTAACTGACCGTTTGCTATATAATCTCCTTCGATTTATCATAATAGGAAAGTTAGAAAAAATAAAATTAACATTAAGATGATAAGAAAATTGATAGAAAAAATAAAAATAACATTAAGAATATACAAAAACGTTTATATCTTGATTACGACGATTATATACTATAGATAGATTATGATTGATTATTATTTAAACAAAATGACAGCAAACCTTGCATTTTCACACAAAAAAAATTTTGAGAAAGAATATAATTTTTTTTCAAAAATGTGAGTAAAATTGAAAAAGCAATTAGACAGAATAAAGTTGAATAATTCAAAAAGAAGAACAAATAACTCTAAAAAAACTGACAGTAAATACTATACGATGACGCCATTTACTCAACAGCTGATTGATTTTACGGCAATCATTTTGTTTTCTTCCATATTAAATATTTAAAAATTTTTAAATTTTGACCATCATAATGGATGGAGACATAACATTTTTAATAATTTATAATATTAATTTTATTAAAAGATAATAGAAGTATAAACTCGACCAGTCGTTTAATAAATACTATAAATTATAAACCAATTTTCCCCTAGCTTTAATCTTTTCCTACACACATTTTTTTCAAACCGTCAAACAATTTCACGGAACACTTTGTCAAAAATATTTATAAAAAACCTAAGAATTATGAAATAAAGCCTTTGTTTTACCAGAGTCTATTTATATCTACCATTCAGAAATAACTCAGGGGTTGTTTTGAAACTTTTAAAACTGTTTGGAATTTTTAAAAAATAAATAAAATTCTGGGAATTATTTTTATCGCCATTTTCTTCTGGAAAGAATGAACTTGGCTAACTGGCAAATAGCTATATAATAGTATTACTGACATTTAATCAAAATGTACTATTAGACATCTTAAGGTTTTATTAATATTTAATCATAAAGAAGTCATTTTTCGTAATTTTATTTTAGACGTATATATTGAATACAGGAATTTTGAAAAATTAATCATATACAAATATTCCTGAAAGTCCTATAGAATTTTAATAATGTATTTTGTTATGCCGTTCATAATTTTTGTGATGACCCGCGTGATGACCTTTATCATTATCACGGTCAGGATTGCCGTCATCTTTATCGTGATCATCATCATTGTTATCACGGTCATTATCATCATTTGTGTGGTCATCATCACTAGTAGTAGTCCTCATAGGCATTGGAGTAGTCTTAGGGTCGGGATTACATTCGCATGTAGGGCAATCATCCCCGTTTAAAACGTTACCAAATTGGCAGTACAATTTGCAAGTGGGGGGGCATGCATCGGGTTCCTTGCACTGGCATATAGCACAACCGTTCGCATCCAAGACATTTCCGTACTGACAGTACATAGCGCAAAGGGGAGGGCAGTCGGGTGGTAGTTTACACGGGCAATATGAGTTGTGATTCCTTTCTGATATGGTAAAAAAAAAGAGTTATAAAATGTTAAAGATTATAAGTGTAAAATATCCTGTAAATATTTATTTACTTGAACGTCCTTGGACTAATATCATTGCTGAAATGAAACATAGTAGAAGAGAAAACGTACAATTGGAGATAATTTTCATTCTGAATTTTTTTGTAAAATAATTTTTTAAAGAAAAAATTAATTTTTAAAGATATCAAAGAAATACTTATTTCTTTTTATAATATAACTCACCAAAAGATAACCAATCAAATTATCGTTTTAAATTGATTCTTATCTTTAAGTCATTTGTAAAATTATAATTGATGTTTTGATGTTTGTTGATTTGAATATATTATTATAAAAATTAATTGACAAATAATATAACATTCAAATTAAGTTTTCGTTTTTTTTTAATTCATCGTTTTCGTACGTAAATATGAAACTTAAAAATAGAGATTTGTTATTTATATAAAATTAAAAAATATAAAAATTTCATAAAATAGCGTGCAAATTAAAATATTTTTAACAGTGATATAGTTTATGTAATACCGTGCTTTTAATTCAAGGTTGTGTGGATGGGTATGTGTGTAGAAGGGGGATGAGAATATCTATATCACTAACATACACATTGGAGGTATGTACAAACCTGTGTAATCCTAGTCCAATCTTACCGAGCGCCAAATGACCCTTTTATTGGGTTAGGTCTCGCCCTACACGACCTTGATTATTAATTTTTTTTATTCGGGCCTAATTTAGATCTCGATTTTTAAATTTATTGATTTTTCCTATGGAATTTTATTATGTATATATATACGAATAAACATTTATTCGATTCGAATAAAACGAATTATGAGAATAAAACGAATTATTCGTAATATTTAATAAATTGCTTTTTTTAAAAATATATCTAACATTTGTCATTTCTATTTGATCTGCCAATCTGACAGGTGATTGTTTATAAAAAGACTAGCAAAAATTTTATATTTAATTTCCCTAGTTCAAAATTAATTATATTAAAAATTACACAAACTAAAAGTATAAGGTATATAAAAATATATTATATCTTTATAATAAAATATTGTTAGCTAGCCTAATTATGTTAGAGGAGAATGATTCTGATGAAATAGTTATGGTTGATGTTGACAAAATTTCTTTACAAAAAAGAGCGATTATATGGGATCAATATCAACTCAATGGTGAAAAGGCTGCTTGCAATCATTGCAAGAGCATTATTAAATGCAAAGGCAAAACAACATCGCCTCTTATTAATAATTATAATAGGTTTCATTCACATCTCTGTAAAAACAGTAATAAAATTGACACTTTTTTAAAGCCTATATCACCTTTTTCTTTATCTAAAAAAATTAATTATAAAGATAACCTACTAAAATTATTTATTAATAATAATTTATCTTTTAAAATTGTTAATTCACCTGATTTTATAAATGATCTTGATTCTTCTATAAAATCAATATGCTCCAATACTCTTAAATTGCATATGTATAATACATTTGCAAAAAAAGAACAGTTGGTAAAGGATATAATATTCAAAAATAAAAGTCAGATTAATTTTTTATCTGATATTTGGACTAGCCCAACTCAGGTTCCTTTTTTAGGGTTAACAGCCCATTTTATTGATGATAATTTTAAAATAAATAACATAATTTTGGATGATGCTCCAATAAATGAACAACATTCAGGTGAAAACATATTTAAAGCCTTTATTAAAATAATTAAAATTTATAATTTGGAGAATAAAATTTTTTATATAACTCTAGATAATGTTACTAATAATAAAACATTTATTAATACATTTTCTTTAAAATATCCATCAATAAAAATAGGGCACATTCGATGCTTTGCTTTTGTTATTAATTTAATATCCAAAGAAATTCAAATACTCATTTAATCTATTATCATATACTATACGCATTTTTGATACCATATATATATATATATATTGAATTTTTTTTAAAATAATTCTCATTTAATTCTTAATCTATCTATCTTCGTGTATTTGCTATTCTTACAAGGCGGACTCTCTGTAAGATATAGAATCGGCACGGTAATCATAATTAAATTTTAATAAAATTTTTCAATGAAGGACCACAATATTAAAATGATCTCTTTAAATATAAGATCCCTGAATGATAAACTAACTATACTTAGGCAAGTCATGAAAGACCAACATTACGATATCCTCCTTTTACAGGAGACCCACCTTAAAGTAACTGAGGTAAGGAACCTCTTAGATTACACCTTATATTGCAGCTCAAATGCTGAACACGTATGGGCTGGGGTGGCGATTATGATACATAATAAATTATTAAGATTCGTATGCTTCAACCCAATCTCCAGCCGAATATGCTGCCTTATCCTAAATTTGATTATGATACATAAATTAATAAGATTCGTATGCTTCAACCCAATCTCCAGCCGAATATGCTGCCTTACCCTAAACTTAGGATACAAAAAAGTTCATTTGTTTAATATATACGCGCCTCACAATGATAGTGTTTTCTATATGGAATTGGAGAATGTCTTAAAGGAACTACCGCATCGGGATGGCATCATTCTAGCAGGCGATTCAATGCTTCGGTAGGTAAATCTAAGAACTTTTCCTGCCTTGGAAATGCCACATTAATACAAAGTACGAACTCCAACGGTAAAAGGTTAATAGAAATCTGTGAGCTTTTCAACATGAAAATTGGAAATACCTTCTTCAATCATCCAACTCATCACATCATGACTTACAAGAGTCCTTCCTTTAGCACTACCTCACAGATAGATTTCTTTGTAATTTCCACTAAGATCTTCAAGTGGGTGAGAGACATCAGAGTAATCAGTAAACTAAACCTTACACTTTTTACGGACCATTATCCACTGGGTTGTGAACTCAAAATTAACAACAGTATCTTCCCAAACCACACTAGACAGAACAGTCTCACCACTGTAAAATACATAGCTAGAAAAGACTTGGCACAACTAAATGACTGAGATGTTAAAGAAGAGTTCGTCTCTAAATTAACATCATGGAGAAATACAGTAAATGGCATGATAAACCCAAATCTGACCTGGAAGGACATTAAGCTTAATTTATTAGGTAGTATAACATCATATTTAAGACCACGCACCAAGCGCAGAGAGTGGCTCACTTCTTCAACAATACAAATAATTAAGAATCTTACAACAAATATACACCACCAATTCGCAAGACATCATAGGATGTACATTACTCACCGCATAAGGGCTGACAAAAGACTGTTTATTGCTAACTTATCAAATTCTATACATATCAATTTTGATAATGATAATATTTATAAGGCCTTCCAATCTCTTAAACTACTCACCACCTTTAAAACCAATCCTTTACCAAGACTACCCTTAAATAACAACAAGATTATAACTGACCCTAAGGAACAATTAGACCTATGGATAGACCACTACATGAACCTCTACAGAACGAGATGGCCTAGACCTAGATGTGACTACCCCTTCCAATCACCCAGTCAGAATCTGAACAAGTCCGATATAGTCGGTGCCATCAAACGTCTAAAAATGCATAAAGCTGCTGGAGCTGATGGGATCTTTGCAGAACTCTGGAAGATAGAGGTAGACCTAAGTGCCAGCTTACTACTTCCCCTCTTTAGGGAGATTTGGAATACGGGTAAGTTTCCTGACGAATGGATGACATCAATTATACTAAACTTCCCTAAAAATAAGTCCCCAAACTGCCTTAAGGATTACAGAGGTATTGCACTGATTCCAGTCACACTAAAAATGTTCACATACATCATATCGGTCAGGATTAAACCAATCATTAACAGGTTACTTTCTAACGCTATCACATCATACAGGAATGGCATACTACGAGTTGACTATGGCACTTAAGGTCATTCTGGAAAAGGCCAGAATGCATAAATCCCCCATCTTTGCCCTAATGATTGATTTAAGTCAAGCCTTTGACTCCATAATTCAGCATAAGATATGGCCCTTGCTGGAAAACATTGGAATAGATAAGTATCTGATAGCGCTAATTAAGATAATTTACGACAATCATAGCGTAGTTCCTCAACATCTAAATATGAAATCACAACCTTTTAGAGCAAATAGGGGCCTCAAACAAGGATGCATCTTTTCACCGATTATTTTTAATGTAATAATGAATGATATCCTAAATAAATCCCTTAAACAGAAATATGCACTCAACACATATTACAGTGATCAACAGCACTTCAATGATATGCATAACTCTCTAAACTTTCTATGTTATGCCGACGACGTATGTATTCTAGCAAACTCAGAATACAAATTAAGAAATATTTTATCATTATTTGTCAATAACTGTGATGGATACGGTTTAAGAGTTAACTACACAAAAACCAAGTTTATCACCTCAAATACCGACGCGAGTAACTTAAACCCCTTTAACTTTGAGGGTAATACGATAGAATTAGTGTCAGATTTTAAATACCTAGGAACCAGGATAACATCAGGCCTCACTTTTTTAGATACGAAATCGAGAACGAATAATGCTAGACTCCGCTATCATCAACTGTCGAAATTATGGTCATCCAACCAAATATCAACTAATTTAAAAATAAGACTCTTCAAGTCCCTAATTGTACCCATTTTTACCTACGGCCTGGAGACTTGGCATCTAAAAGCAACATTAACACAATTCAGACATTTATAAACATATGCCTTAGAAGAATCACCAAAACGTATTACCCATACAACATATCAAGTACAACGCTCTGGAATAGATGCGACATCCTACCAATCAATCGTCTCATACCCTTGAGGAGACTAGAATTACTAGGCCATAGCTTAAGACACTCTCAGGAAAATATGATATTCTCGTCCTTGAAATGGTGCCCCGACGGTAGGAATAACACTCCTAAATACTATTGGTTGGCAAAATGTTTGAAAGATATGGACCTGATTAACCTCTCGTTTGCAGATTTCATGGCACTCAGCAAAAACAAGAAACACCTAAAGGAACATTTACAATGCATGTTAAAATATGGCCTAAATTAATATTGAAACCGTTCTTCTCCTTTACTTTCTTGCTATAAATAGAATAAAGTATGTTTGATAATGATAATAACCTGAACAACAACAACATAACTTAAATTCCTTATTAACCTACTACCTTTATTTCTGGGCACACGATATCAGCGACGATAACGATAACAATTACGAAACTATTAGTTGTATAATGGACAATGAGAAAGTACACTGGTTAAATAATAACGCAATAACTCGGACGAACCCAAATATCATTGGCACAGCACATACAAGATCTACAGGACATACGATATTTGGCATACCGAACAACAAACAAGTAAGAGACTCTTCATGCAAACTTAACATAAACTCTCAATACTTACCAAGATATAAGGGTTATTATTTTTTGTTGCCTCACTAAATACCACTTAAGGATGCAAGTTTGGATTGTGAAATAAGGTGGAATAGCACCTACCAAGAAAGGGGCTTATTGTTAAAGCCTGCTATAAAAAAATTAGTTAATGAAGTTATAACTAATATAATTCTTCAAGAAAAACAATTATCAGAGGTAAACTAAAATTTATAAATAGGTAAATAATACTTTATTAACATAACATACAGGAGGAATGGGACGATATTGTAAAAATTAAATCTATCCTATTGCCTTTGTATGAGACTACAAATATGGTTTGTGGGGAAAATTATCCTACTTATAATTTTTATACCCTATTATATTCTAATTCTTGAACACTTAAAAAATGAGAAACATTGTTTCCATAAAACCTCTAACAATGATTTCAAAGTGGCATGTGATAAATTGTTGGGCTATTACAATTTAACTGCAGATGATGCAATAATAGCTACAATGTTGGATCCCAGGCTCAAAATATAATATTTTAAATCAATATCTATTGATTATGATATTGGTATATCCAGGTTAACAGACAAGTTTAAAGAGATTTACAGCAGATATACAGGTATTTAATTTACCCCCATTTAAATACATATCATTTTATTTTATAAGCTGCTGATAATTAAAACTGCCAAAATAAGGATGAAAGTCAACAAAACAGGCTTGACATTGTTTTTAAACAAAATTATGTTCAACTATGTGAAATCAATTTTTACCTGAGTGAACCAAGATCAAAGAGTGATACTGATCCATTAATGTGGTGGAAGACAAATGCACATAGGATCCCCATACTCTCAAAAATGGCAAGAGATTATTTATCTATACAAGGAACATCAACTGCGTGAGAAAGACTTTTCTCAGTTGGCACTAATTTGTTGTCGAAAAACCGCATGTCGTATAAAGAAGATAATATAAGAAAAACCCTTTGCCTTAAAAATTGGCTTAAAATTATATATTAAATGAATAATATAATATTTTAATTTTGGTTATAACTTGATTATATTTATTTGTCATTGGATTATTATAATTTTTTCTGTTTGAAATCAAATTTGCAATAAAAAAATTTGTCAATATATTTGAGTATGATTTATTTTATTAAGAAAATTCATTTCAATTATTCGAAAATTATTCGAATCGAGTACAAATAGTAGATTTTATTATTCGTACAAATTCAAATAAACGAATCGAATACGAATAATGCACTATTCGATACGAATACGTTTTTGAATAGGCCTAATTTATAGGATAAGAACTATTTTATGTCATAACATAAAGCATTTATTTATTTTTATAATGAAATATTGCACTGAATTTGAAAATCCATTAATAATTGAATACAATAGTTTAATTTACATGAGGAGTGTGGTTATAAAATAATATAATAAATTCTCTATATCGTTTATAATCCTATTTTGTGCCCCTTTTATCCCTATATACGTAAAATTTTATATCTATCTTTTACAATATTTAATGCATAATAATTTAATATTTATGAACTTCACAATCAAAATAACTGATTTACAAAAAAAAATGGATTATAAGGACAATCGTAAATTAAGCACTAATTTTATTCCAATATCTTATATCTCACATTTATCATCAAAATTTGAAAGATTCTTAAAAGAATAAAAATTGTTAATTATTTGAACAATATCAGCCTTACATTAGGGTTTTTGTGGAAAAAAAAATCACACAAAAAATATAGCAAAAGAAGAGAAATATTTATTTTATGAATAATTCAAAAATAAAAATAATATCCTTAAAAACTGTGAACTAGTAACGAGATAAGGCGCCATTTATTCAACATCTGATTGAGTTTACAGTGATTATTTTGTTTTCTTCCATACAAATATTAATATTTATTAAGGTTTCATAAATGAAGTTATTAAAGATATCATTAGAATATCCATTAATAATGAAAAACTCTAATTACATAAAAAAAAAATTAATTATTATAAACGCGATCAGCTGTTAAATATTATAAATTCGGGCCCTTAAGAAGCAAATTTTACTAACAAGACTAATAAAACGATTAATCAGAATTTATCTGTTTGCATGGGCATCAGATGTTTTATTCCTGAATAAACCTCTCCTATACTTTGGATTGAATATCAAGTTCAGGTAAAAGGTCAAAGAAATATAAGAGTATTCCATAAGTGTACAAAAGGCGAAAGCCATATCTATATGGTAATCTTCCCATTTATCGATGTAAAAATTGCGAAAAATTAAGAAAATCGAAACGGGAAATAGGAAGACAATAAATTCGACTCCCATTATGCCAATCATCTTTTTCTCGATTTCGTGATCCCTTAATCTAGCGCATAATTTTGGGTATTTTGCGATATTGGCCTTGGAATATGGCGATTGCCTTTCCTATTATATTTTTTTAAAGTCATATATAGATTTAATAAAATTGTTTATTACGAAATTTTTGTAATCAGGCAAATATAAATTTGAGCCAATTTGGTCACGAACTTCTTTTCAGTCATTTTTAAATTTAGATATTGGAAATACGCGGATGCGCAGGCATAGCCGGGGGTGGGGAAGAGGGTGGGGTAAGAAGAAATCCTCTCCTCAGGAATAGGATAGTTTCTGTGAATATTAATTTAAGCTAATAAAAATAATCATCCTTAGATCCCTCCCCACCTAAAATATATGCAATTATACAATGGTTTTACATAGTTGTTGTTAAACTGCTAGATTTGCGCCCTAACGGCTAACTTAATATTTTATCCAGAAGAATATTGCGCGAGCCTGAAGATTTTGCTCATAGAAGGAACAAAGATCTAGACATATATTATCGAAATCTCGAGGCGTAGGCAATATTTTTGCCTGGATAAAATATTGATTTAGCCGTTTTAAAAAAATGTTACGTATGTATTTTAATTATTAATATAATAAAAATATATATACGTATGTTTAAAATTAATATATTATGAATAACTTTATAATTGAATGATTTTAACAGCTACCTAACATTTATTGAGATATTATCATTATCCTTTTGTATATATCTTTTTCCGTAATTGCATTATTACATTATTGCATTTTAACTTATGTTATTGTATTATGAATAAAACGAAAGAATCAAATATAACAATTTAATAGGATTGATAAATCAATTTCGTATACATTTTAAATAAAAGTTTTTTTTTTAATTAAAAATACTTCCTATCTTGTAAAAATATTTTATAGATATATATAGGTTAAGGGAACCTGACCGAACCCCTGTCTAAAGCGTATCGAAGACCCGTCAAAGGTGGAGTCTGGGTGATAAAGCTCTCTAGAAATTAATAAACCCACCCTCTTCCATTAGGAAAATCATGACTACGCCTATGTACGGATGGCCTGTGATATTATAATATACACAGTAATGACTGTACCTTCAATGTTCGCAATTAGTCAATATATGTAATATATTATAGGATTGTCTGATATTTATAAGGTAGATTTTTTTACAGATGCTTGAATACAATTCCGATAAAATAAGATCTTTTTTCAAATGTAAAAATAAACCATGCTAATAACTGATTCACAGTTAGAAAATACAGAAATTAATTTTGTCAAAATTTTTATTTTAATTAATACATCATCTGGTAGTATAGACCCGACTTTAACTCTTGATTTCCCAGAGAGTGAAAATATACCGGAAGATGGCAATGGATTTAGATCAGGAATTGAACAAAAAGGATTTATCCTTTTGGCTAGCAAAGCTTTTTTCCTTGTATTCATCCAAATTTTGACTAATAATATTATTAGGGCGGGTAAAAATTTTGTGTAAAATTCTCTAATCACCTCATAAGCTGTCCATAGGGAACGTTTTCTTTTGGTATCAGCATAGCTTTTATCAATTATATATAGATATTAGTTTAGCGAAAATCTAAAACTCATGAATATTCAAAACTTTTTAAGTAGCTAGCGAAAGGAAAATTACAATAAACTATATTACATCTTTTATAGATAGATATTTAATTAAATGCTTACCATGTTTATATCCTATTTTTGGATATATATAATAAAATATTTAATTGAATGGTTGGATTACCCTCACCCTCCCACTTATATTTATAGTATATACACTATAATTACATATATTTTACCCGAATTTAAAATAATAAGTGATGAGTAGAGGCCTGATTCCGCACATGTTTATCCTGCTGCTTATTTCAAACCACCAAGTTGTCGGAACATACCACGCGACTACGTATATAAAATTGAGTATCAGCATGTACACGATATTTCTATGTCGGAACCAAATCTTGTATTTAAACGGGAACGTGGTGCCTACCATTTGAGAGAGAGCAAGTGTCACGTAAATCCCGAAAGAAAAACTGACCAAAGATTTGGCTATAGGAAAATGATAATATGCCATATACCTATTCCAGGAGAGTCTAAACCAGAATCTGAAAAATTTGATCTCTCCCGTCATATCCAAGATCGGGTATATGCACATGATTATGCAATTGAATATGTTCACCAAGTAGATGGCGCGGGTTAAAATGGTATTAGGATAAAGTTTTTCCCTGAACGCTATTTTCAGGCCCAACACATTACCAAAGATTCCTAACACGCACATGGCGGGAGCTACGGTTAAGAAAAAAATGAAAAACGATTCACCTTCTTCGTGTATCGTGGACCAAGGTATGCAGGATCCGTTTTCGGAGGTATTGATTGATTTAATGTCATGCGATATATTCCGATGATAGACATCAATGACATATTTAGAATTTGTTAAATGCGAAATGTTTAAGAATAAAGTCATTTTTTTTAACTCCAATTTTATATTTCAAAAGAAAAAAAAAGAAGATATTTTTGTGTACACGTTATTAGGTGAAAAATGAAATATAATTAGTTTTTATTAAATAATAACTCACAATTATTAATTTTTTATATAATAATAATACATTTTAAATAACTATATTGAAATAGGAAGGATTTTAATTATTACATGGCAACCGGTGCGATGATAAAAAAAAATTATTATAATACATTCTATTTTTAAAAAAATAGCTGGTGGCTCAGTTCAGTTGGAACTTAGGTATAATGTATATACCTAATATGTGCCTTTAGGAAATTTTGGTAGGAAACTTTGTGGAGCTCTAATATTTCCCCTCAGTAAAATAAAAAAATTAATTTTTCTTACATCCAAAGAGAAGATATAGGATATCTGAGTTTTACAACCAGATCTTGAAATGGGTTTAACGACAAGATTTTACAAATTTTTTACAGACAATTTTGCCATGACCTTTTTAACCTTATATATATTTTTTTCTATATAAATTATGAATGACTCAAGGGTTAAGTGCATAATTGATCTACAATTCATAAAATAGGTATTTTCGGCAAAAACAAATTTAAAAAATTTAAAAAAAAACGCGCTAAAAAATGAAGATGAAAAAACACATTTGCCGCTAACGTATACGATATAAAATCCTAAATTTAATCGAACATATCCAACCCAAATTAAAAAAATTAATGCCGGTTTTACATTTTGTTCTTTTCTTAGAAATAAATAACAATTTCGGCCTTCTTCAACTCTCATCATCATCTTTTCAACTCCATAAATATGCCGAACATATCCCGGATCACATTGTCTCACAACCTCCACCTCTGGTTGTCACGTCATTGGATCCTTGATATATTAAAAACTTGTGACTGATTATAGTGTCAAAACATTTTTAAATTCAGTCATTACTTTTGTTCTTAAAATTATTTTGGAAGGAGCTCGCTTAATAACACCCGCTTGTTCCTTCCCGACTACAGCCCAGAGAATTTTGAAAATATAGAGTAAACTCATAAAGAATAACGAGAACAAGATACATCTTAAAGTAACTGCCCATTATCG